CTCCTCGAGCCCAGCCCTGCGCAGGCTACATGTAAGAAATACGCGTGCAGTTCTTGAGTGCTCTCTGTCTCCCTAAATGGAGGTTTAGAAGGTCACCAAACCTCTCCTCATAGCAGTGTCACCCTCAACTGCTGGTTCGGTTGCACAGGTGGCGCTGGCGATGCCTTCCAGTGTTACCAACTCAGAGAACTGTTTGCCCCAAACTTATTAGCCCCAGAGACTGTGGGTTTGGAGTCAATGTGTTTTGCTCTTTTGGTATTTCTGGCTCCTTTACTGTGTTTGCTGCAACTTAGTTCTTAAAAAAATGTTTTTATTTAAAAAAATTTTTTTTTAGAGAGAGAGGAGCATCGATGTGAAGGAAAAACATTGATCTGTTGCCTCCTGCACATGCCCCACAAGCTGCGTACGTGCTCTGACCAGGGATTGAACCGGTGCATAGGGTGATGCTCACCCACGGAACCACCCCAGCCAGAGCTGCTGTCACCTCTTGCGGAAGATCCTGTCTCCCTTTCTCTTTTGCTGCTTTTCCATGGAAGGGAGACGGCACCTGTGTGAGAACTAGGCCTGCTCTCGGAGCCACCAGACTCAGGTGAGGGGAGGCAGGACTCTCTTAGGAGGAGACTGTGCTGTAGTGTGCCCCTTTGCGCTCTGTGAGCCGCTGCCTCACGTGGCCGCGCTGTTCTGCCGGAGTCCGTTAGATTACAGATCTGTATTCTAAAGTGATGTTGGGAAAGGGAGAGAGAGCATGTGGCCGCGCTGTTCTGCCGGAGTCTGTTAGATTACAGATAACCAATGGACATAAGACACTGGGGGATAGGGGAGGCTAGGGGACTGTCTTGGGCGGGGGGAAAAAATGGACACATATGTAATATCCTTTGTAATAAATAATAAAATTAAAAAAAAAGAAAAGAAAAAAAAAGATTACAGATCTGTGTTCTAAAGTGATGTTGGGAAAGGGAGAGAGAGCACACGAAGGCCTTTTGGGTAGTGTTGGCTGTTGAGATGGGTAAGAAGAGGTGAACTTTTTTTCTCTGCAACAAATATGACCTCGTGGTCCTGTTTCCCTCTGTTTTCAGGTCACAACACAATTTTACCTTGTTTTTTTTTCTGTCACCAGGGATTCAGATGAGGGTGGTTGTGGTCTCAGGGTGGGTGGTCTCATCCTGGAGCTGTCACTTCATCACCGTGGGACCCTGAACACTGGGTGGGTGATGGGGACAGTGATGCCAGTGCTTGGCAGGTGTGCCGTGAGGACCAGGTAGAAGTAATGCATAGCGAGGGCTCCTCTTCAAATACAGCAAGTGCGAGCTGGGACAGCGTCAGCAGCTCGGAGGAAGGGGGATCCCTGGGCCAGAATTCCTGGGTCCTCCCCACAAATCAGCCCTCGCTCTCTGGGAAACCGCAGGAGGACTCTGGGGTTTGCCCTTTATCTGAAAACAAAGGGGCCGGATGAAGTGATACTTATCACAACTTTGGTGTTCCGTGAACGGTGACCGTGACTTGCCTTATTTCTGGAATTTGGGGGAGGGGAGCAGGGAGGACATGATCTGAGGAGAACGTGGGCTCAGGGCAGTAATGAAGCTCCTGTCACCCAGCCAGGTCGAAGGGTGGAGGCCTCTGCGCTTTGTCTTAGGATTCAGTAAGTTTGCCGAGAAGATGCGGGTGTGTGTGTTTGTGGTGCTGCAGGCATGGGTGCGGCTGAGTGAGGTGTGGGGGGCAGAGAGAGACCGAGGAGCCCCGGCATTTGGATGGTGCTGAGGGGCTGAGCGGTTACCAGGGGCTTGCACGTGGCGTGGATGTGCCAGTCTCCCCCCCCCCTCCCCACTTGGGCACGCTGACAGGAGCAGGGCTGGCTGTGGGTGACCCACTCTGGGCAGTAGCTTGGCCACAACATTGAGAACTCTTTTTATTATTATTATTATTATTATTATTATTTTAAATCTTTATTGTTCAGATGATTACAAATGTCCCTCTTTTTTCCCCCATAACTCCCCTCCACCTGGTTCCCACCCCACCCCAGGTTCTCGCCACCCTTTTGTCTGTGTCCATAGGTAATGCATACATGCATATAAGATCTTTGTCTAATCTCTTCCCACACCCCCCAAGCCTCTTTTCTCT